CAGGAAGCTCCTTCTTTAAAAAGAAATTTCACAACAAATGTAATTCATTTGAAGTCACCTCAGGAAGAAACCAGCTCACTGCCAGTCATGATTTTGCAGGGTGACAAGAAGCAAATAGCATCTTTGCTTCTCTGGAGGCTTCCTGCATGCAAATTCATCACATCACACAATAACCCCTGGTGGGAGCTGGTCCACATGACAGAACCACATTTCAGCACAATCAGCAGCAGCAGCTCCCTTGAGACCCAGGAACAGATGAGCAAGGGATCAAACTATGTTCCCCAGACCTGACAGAAAACATTCTGGTCTGCAAATCCTACTTGAGGAGTCAGGACAGAGCTGAGCTGGCTGGTCTCATCCCAGAGGAATGCCAGGTCCCTTGGGACAACAGGCAGCCACCATCCCGTGACCCACTGTGATGCATTCTGCCACTACCACACACCAAGAAGAAACTCAACTAACAACTTTTACCAGAATCTGTTATGAGGAACTTTTAGATTTTACCACAATCCAAAGCCCAAATGACCACAGATTCCAGGAAGATGATCTCACTCATTTGGTTCATGATAAAACACTGGATCTTCACAAGGTTTCTTCTGAACATCCTTATGCAGAAGCCAGTTTGCAGTTGTGTTTCCTGGAAAATCCACTGTTTTTTCACTGACTATTCATCACAACAGAAATCTGAGTCAATCTGTGCAAGAATTCCTAGGATGGCTGTTGTTGACACATCCTGGGGACCAGGTTCAGGCTTGACCACCCAGCAGTCACACAGGTCACCAACACAGGCTGGTACAAACTATGGAAATATTCCAGAGATGTTAAAAAAAAGACACACGAGAAATTATGTTTGTCAAACACATTCTAGTCAATCTTTACAGATCCTGAGCAGGAGCTTTGAGCATCTTTGCTCAACTCCCACCTCAAGGCACCAGGCACGGGGGGGGCAGAGCAACAGCGGCGAGGACCAAGACACGCGCAGTCAGACTGGCATCCAAAACCACCTTTTCTTACCAAACAACAGAATTCGCAGCTTGCAGAGCTGTGACATGCCCATGACACAGTCAGAGCTGTAGCCCAGCCCTGCAGATTACAAACTGGGTTCTCTGGAATTATTCCAACCGAGATGACAGTGGTAAATTGTACTTATTTTATGATAACAAGAGGAGATAAATATTTTCATTATTGTTCCATTGGTCAGTCCTGGCCAACTGCACTTCCAGAAGTCAGTACAGCAGCCAAGAAGCCAGTTTCCAGAAACATGATTTCAAGAAGCCATTTTCTGAGAAAGAACATGAAAACTGCAAGTTAAACTGAATCCTCGCTCCATGTGTCCAAACACGGGGCCTCTGGGCAGGCTGGGCCTTCCTGGGGCTGCTCTGGGGCAAAACCCACCAGCCTCACCTGCCCTCGGGTCTGAGCACTCAGGTCAAGCCTGTGCATGAATTGATATCCAATATTAACTAATTCTGTCCTCAGGAATGTTTACTGCCTACACGATTCTGAGTATAGATTCCAGGCTGGGAGAGCTGGGGTGTTCAGCCTGGAGAAGAGAAGGCTCCAGGGAGACCTTAGAGCAGCTTCCAGCCTGAAGGGGCTCCAGGAAAGCTGGGGAGGGGCTTTTGGCAAGGGCAGGGAGTGATGGGATGAGGGGCAATGGCTTTAAACTGAGAGAGGGGAGATAGAGATGAGATCTTGGGAAGAAATACTTCGCTGTGAGGGTGGTGAGAGCCTGGCCCAGGTTGTCCAGGGAAGCTGTGGCTGCCCCATCCCTGGCAGTGTTGAAGGGCAGGTTGGATGGGGCTTGGAGCAGCCTGGGCTGGTGGGAGGTGTCCCTGCCCATGCAGGGGGGTTGGACAAGATGAGCTTTAAGGTCCCTGCCAACCCAAACCAGCCTAGAGTTCTGTGATTCTACAGTATTTGACCTTTTAATCCAATACTGACATCTTAAAACTTTAGTGCTGAGAGCCTGACCCTTTTCTAATCATCCAATAAAACAGTATTTAGCTGCTGCCAACAGTAATGACAGCACAGCAACCATCCACCAAGGAGGCAGCTTCTACCTGCTGGTGACTGAAAACACCTCAGGCAACAACCCCAGCACAACACGATCCCTTCAGCTGCACATACAACCCCCAGAAACCACGTCACATTATGAAGAAATCACCAAAATTCCATTCTTTGACAAACCAGCTTTCAGAGAAACAGAAAATGGGGCAGGGGGGGAGCCCTTCCCCTGTGCTCCACATCATCGAGTTAACAGGAAAGAGAAAACAGAACTAAAAGGAACCACCTCACATCTTTTCTGTATAAAGTGTTGACCCTAAATATAACCGAGGGATTTTCTCTGTGTGTTCTATTTTTAAGAATTGCGGTTTTGGTACAGAAAACTCATGATGGAGCTGAAACACTCTTATTCACTGCAAAACCTCATCTGCAAGAGGAGAGGTGAAGTGAAACCACAGGACACGGTGCTGTCCTCCCACCCACACAGGGGGATCTACACACAGCTCAGCTCTTTCCAGGGCTCAGTCCAGTCATTTATCTACACTAAAAAACATGGATGAAACTCAAAATAATAATATAAAATAATAATTTTCTAGGCTTAGCCTCTGCACAGAGCAGAGCTAACACAGGTCTCAGAGATGACAGCACATCCACTGTCCTGGGGGCAAGGAGAGCAAAGATATGTTGTGACAGGAGAGCTGCTACCCTTACAGAAATAGCTTTAACTCATCCAGAAGATGGATTGCATCAGACACCACACCAGCCAACACCATGCACAGAATCTTTCCAGCACTCCCTGAACAGTGCAAAGTGACACAAAAAGACTGGGGGGGAAAAGACCTTTTTTTAGACTCCTTCAGAGCATTTTGTTTGATCTCTTCTGAACCCTGGATGTGGCTCTACAGAAAGACACTCATCGGCTTTTTTAATGTTCTGGTTTCAGCGCGAACTGCACTCATCGCTGTGCAGCTGCCCGAGGGACTGTCAGGAGGAGGAAGGAAGCCCAGCTCTTCCCACAGCCGCCCCTCAGAGCCATTCAAAACGAGGGTGAAAACCTCCTCTGAAGGTGGTTTGATAATTCGCCAGCTCCAGTGCAAAGTCACTGTTCCCCCCTCACCTCTGTCCTGCCAGACGCAGCCCAGCACAGGCAGGACAGGG